AGGACTGGCCCCCACCGCCCCCTCCCTGCCCTTCGGGTGGGCACCCATCAACCTGGGGCCGTGAAAAGGAGACTTAGGCTTAACTAAGCGCCCCCCCTTTCAGCCAGTGATCACTGGGATTAGATCTATCAACTCAAACGTGTAAAATGGATCAATAGTGGCCGGTTTTGTTGGGAGATTCAAAGGTCTCCGGCCTGAAAAGGCAAAGTGAGGCGTACCAGCTAAGATAGAGGTATAATAAAAAAGCTTTGCCTCCCCCTCAGAAGCATTTGATTATTTTTTTCAGATGCTTTTATCATTTCAGACGCTTTATTATGCTCGAGATGAAAATGAGGACTTGTCTGAACAAAACCTCTTCAGACGCAGTTTTGATCAATCAGTATTCATCTTTTTATATTAATCTCTTCTCTCCCCCCTCCCGCCCAAGTTGGAGAATTCAAACCGAAGACATGAAAAGTAACAGCTAATTAGCACATTGCCTGGTTCCCAATAGCATTGGTATGATAAAAAGGTCAGAGTTTCGCCTAAAAAAAAAAAAAAAAAGAAGGTGGGGGGGAAACCTCCCCAAGAGAGACAGAGATGCTAATGAAGCGTGAATGGTAATTGTGTAGTAATGAACTAACAGAAAAAGACTGAGGACAAGCAGCTAACGCCATATATTATTGGAACAAAAGAGATTTACACTTTCAAACTAAACACAACGGCATGCCAGGCTCCTCGGGAGAATACTGATGGCACAATCGTCTCTTTCCCCAAATCATTTTCGTTAAATGGACATGAAAAGCTATTTATAAAGCTCAAGTTGTTTTTGTTAGGCTATTCACATGCTGCAGAAAGGAAGCAAATTCCATTATCCGGAGGATGAATGGAAGAGCTTGGGTTATTTTTTTCCCCTCTCTCCCTTTCCCTGTTTTCTTTTTAAATTAATAGCTTGTTTGTGTAATTAGATTTTTTTTTTTAATTGTTCGCCCCACATCATAACACTTCAGGGCTGTAAGAATCATACCCCTGTAGCCTGCTTTGTCGCCGAGACCGTGTCATTTGAATACCCCCGACCGTCTAAACGAGAAGCGACGAAGTGGGAGACCCCAGGTGAAGGAGGGGAGGGTTAGTACGCGGGGAGGGTGGAGGAGAGAAGTCAAGCCGCGTCCGCGGTACCCTCGATCCGCCTGTAAACGCCAGGC